GCCACATCTTTCTCCTGAGAGCGGTTGGTAGGTTCAAATCGACGACCTTTTAGTTAGCAGCCGAGAGCGCTTAACCACTGCACCACCAGGGCTCCTATACACAATAGGTACTATATGCCAGGCACTGAATTCAGTGCTTCCTGTTAAATTTATTGCATTATTAAATCTTTCTATTTGATAAACCACCAGTAGCCATCAAGTTGACTTCAACACATGGAGACTCCTTGTGTGTCAGAGCACAACTGCCCTCCATAGGGTTTTCATTGGCTCGTTTTTTCAGAAGTAGATCACCAGGCCTTTCTTCCAAGGCACCTCTGGGTGGACTCGAACTTCCAACCTTTCAGTTAGCAGCCAAACACATTACCCATTTGCACCACCCAGGAATTCCTTGTATTTGACAGAACATATTAATCATTCCCATTTTACTGATGAAGGAACTAAGTACCAGAAATGTTAAGAAAATTTTCTATATTTAACTAAATTTGTTGTGAGGATTAAATAAAATGATTATAAAGCACATCCCTAGCATAATCCCCAGCCTATGGGAATCACTCAATAGCTAGGACTATTATTTAAAATGACTCTTTTATTATCCGAAGTAGAAGACACCGTGTGGTTGCTATCTAACATCTCTCGTCCCTTTCTCACTAAAAAAAAAACACATTATTGTTTGGGGCAGCAATGTGCCCAGTTAAAAGTACTTCTCCTCCCCAGTCTCCCTTATTTTTTGAGTTCCTGTGACCTAGCACTGGCCAACAAGAAATTAGTCTCACAAATGGGGCTTTTAGGAAAACTAGTACTGTCCCAAGAAAGAGGGAGTGTTTCATCTGGTGTGTGCCTCTTCCCCTTTGCCTGTCTTTATCTTTGCTGTCTGGAAAGTAGATGTGACCTGGAGATACAGCTGCCATCTTGCAAGCATGAGGAGCAAAAGCCCATGCCCAGGATGGCAAAGCAGAAAGTCAGAAGAGCCCTGGACCACTAATGACCTTGTAGGGTGCTGTGCCCGTCCTGCGCTGCTGATCTCTAGACATTTTGACGTTTAAGCCACTATGGTCAGATTTCTATTACCTGCAGCTGAAGGCAATCAAACTGATACAACCACCATTTTGGATGATCGCGCTATTGTCTGAATGAAAATTAAGAATTTTAAGTATCTTCTTTATGCTAAGGAACTATGGTGGTGCACTGGTTAAGTGTTCTGCTGCTAACCGAAAGGTAAGCAGTTCGAACCCACCAGACGCTCTGAGGGAGAGAGATGTGGCAGTCTGCTTCTGTAAAGATTACAGTCTTGGAAACCCTATAGGACACTTCTACTCTGTCCTATAGGGTCACTATGAGTTGAAATCACCTCAACAATGGATTTGGGTTTTTCTTTATGCTAATCTGTCTATGTATCCTGAGATGGTAAGGAACTCCAGAGAATGAAGGCCTGTTCACAATCATCTCTATATAAAATATCCTCAACCCTTCTGAGGATTAACATAAAGACTTAGTTTCTAAGAGTCCAAGCCCTGTGTATTGGCTTCTAACTGCTAACTTTCCCTTCTACCCTATCACACATGTGGTGTTGTCAACAAGATTTCCATGGGTCACCACCACTGTGCACTTGAAATCTGAGGACTCAGACACTTGTTCCCAAAGGCTTGGCTCTAGACCAGCCTCACCCAACATGGAATGGAACAATCCTTCTGTAAATACTGAGGCATCTGCTCTGGCATCTTGGTCAAAGTCCAAAGGCTGTAATTGCATTCTACCTATTTGTGAGCTCTCCTAGAGTTCCAATTAGGTAGTACTCATTTGCTATCCCAAAAAGATTATGCCCAACATTGCTCTGCACATTAAAACAATGAGGGGTCCTTCGCAAGTGATGAAGGCGCATCTCATTGAGACACGAAGGGATCACAAGGTGGGGTTGAGAGGTTTCATCTAGCCTTACACTGAGCCAGCTAGGTTGACATCCAATTTGGAAGAAGCTAAGTGTACCTGAAGGGTTAAACTTGTGGTTTCCAGAGCTATCACATGGAAATAATATACATACATATATTTAGACTTTAAATGATTTTTAAAGTCAGCAGATGAGAAAAATTGAACGCCAGTCCCTATTCTAACAGCTTTTATCAAAACATAAGCCACATAACTAATACAAAAATTAAATTCCTTCTAATAAATTTTGTTGTCTGAATATCACATGGTATGCGACTTTTGTACTTCATGAATTCTTCATTGAAAGATAATCATAAGAATTTTAAGAAACTGGACCCTCCATGAAATTCTAAGCTATGAATAACCCATAAATGAAGTGTTTTCCCTTGCTTAAGGAAATATGCAAAAAGGCTAAAAAAATTTAATTGTTTAACTTGTAAAATTAATAAGCCTATGTAGCTAAATGGTGAAATAAAGGGCATTCAGACAATATTTCAAATATCCTTCCTTTAATTAACTAGAAAGAACACATTTTCAATGCCTAAAATTATGTCATATTCAAATAAAGACAACCACAGACGTACTGAAGAGAAAATCTCTAATAATTTATTGACCTTCAGTTTCACATTGTGAAAAAAAAATAACAGTTTTACAAAACTTCAAAAATGTAGTAGTAGCAAACAAGCACATACGAACATGAACATTTTACTTCTTCAGCTGATACAGAGTTTTGTACGTGGACCACATATTCAATAGCCAAGGAAGGGATATTAATTCAGCTCTAATCACTCTTATTCAGACAGGTGTCAAGCTCAGTGAAAAGGGGCTACACAATTATGCCAGAAGTGGAAGGCTGCCCTTTGTTATCCGTTTCTACAGCAACCAGCCCACAAAATAAGAAGAACCTTCTCTGTCTTATGCCAAGGTTTTTGTGTGCACTGTGCTGTGAATTGTATTTGCTTCAAAGTGTGGGACGTTTCACAGGGTGAGAATGGTCAAGTAGTGAGCCCAAATGCCTACATCAATTCAAAGAGCTGGAGTCCAGAAAGTTCCCTGCAGGCTGGGGGCCCACCCTTAGCGTGGCTCCCTCTGGCTCACACACAGTAATTAATAGAGGATTCAAGGACAGACCACAACTCTGAAACAGCTGCAGAAAATTCCTCCTGCTTTCAGAAGCCATGCAGTGACACACACATCTCTGCTGATTTGCATCATGAACTACAGAACTGTAACTGCTACAATATAAAGACACCGACTATGCTGCCAGTACAATTAGACATTTGCATTGCTTAGAACACATCTAGGAATGAGGGACTGACTGTTGGGAAGTATTGTGATTCTTTTATTCCAACGGCTCATTTATTTTGGTCCAAGTATAACCCACTTATTCATGGCATGGACAGACAGCATTATTCATGTACAATTAGTCTTCTAAAGCATCGGGGTGGAAAGAAATGTTAAGGATTTATCTGCCATTAGACAATGCAAACACACTCACGAGATAAAAGGTTGTTACCAGCCGTAAAGCCTATTTTCTAAAATACAGTTATGTGAGAAACATCGACGAAAGCAGTGCGAGTTGCAAGCACTGGTCTTCCCCAGACACCTCTGGGGAAGCACTATTTGCGTCTAGCGCTAATACCTATCACGGCACATGTTTAGTAAACAAGCACTCAAACTAGCAAAGAATGTATTCACAACTGACTCCCAACTAGACTGGAAAACCTCTCAATGGGGGCAACTGCCTACAATTCTTTGGTGTTTCGTGGCCAAATGTGCCACTTGTACGCACCAAAGTGTTCTTTGAGACTTACCTAAGGCTGAGCACTATGTGGACATTGTACCAATGTGAACAGTCTTGGAGAACTAACACTTGCTGAAAGGTATGATGGGAATACAGAACAATGAGCCCAGGCCATGCAAATCTAGTCAGTGAATTAATTTGCATCTGTGATATTTCCGTTTTTCCTCTTAACAGTGGTTATGGCAAAGAATTCTTACAGGGTAATAAATAGATAAATAAATAAACTTTGGACAATGCCCCTGCCTGTGCCCTATATACAGATCTACTTGATAAAAATTTCCAGGATTTCAGGATATTGCTCCAAAAACAAACAAAAACTGTAAAGCAGTTTGGTCCTTTCCAAATTTCAGTAGCTAAGACTGAATGAGGTGAATCAGATGGGAGGAAGATGGGCAGAAAGAAGTCTCCTCTCACCCCACCAGTCATCAGCATAACCATACCCCCATGAAACCCCATTAAACGTTGGTAAGTCTAAGAAAGCTGACCTCCACAGTTTCTCTACCTTTAGGATGTAATTTAAATTTCTGTCTTCTAACCCTTCCCTGTCTTGACATTTAAAAAAAACCCACCCATTCCCAGCCCACCCTCCAGTTATATTCCAAATTGTAACATGAAAACTTTTCATTTCTGTGCAGCTAAGCACACCCCAACCGCCACAAAATGTGCAAAACATACAACCATTCATGCACGTCCATACACGTGAAGACAACTGTAGCATTGTTTCAGCATGCAGGCATCAAACAATAAATAGCTAAATCTATAACAAGTTTCTTACCAGCCAAGGGAAAGTTAGTTGAAAGTCACTTATAAATAGAAAAGAACATCTACCAACAATCCCCTCATTGTTCAGGAACCTTCCTGGGGAGCACAACCCCTTAGAGATGAAGGTGGAGTCCAAGTGGTCCTCATTCTCCAGCCAGCTTCCCTCCTCGCCCGGCAGTCGGGCTTTGAATCTGACCGGCCTCCGGCAGCAGCTGGTGGAGGGGTGACAACCATTTCAAATTTTACACATAAATGGTGGAGCCCATGGAAATCAAATGCTGAATATGGGACAGCAAGGGAAAAGGTCCGGCTTTTCTCTCCCTTTGAGGGGCTGATTAACGCTGACATTAATCCACAATTACAAGACAAGGACTAGATCACAGGTTCATTCATTCATATTTAAACCATGTGCTACTTGCACTGAAAATCCCACTCCCTCCCCAGCCCCTCTTCCTTCACGTCCAGTTAGAGCATTTACAAGGTGCAGTGGATTTTATTCACGTCTCGTCGCAACTTCTTCTCCTTCTTCTTTTCTTTCTCTTCATTAAATTTGGTTTCTCCAAAGTAGAAATCTCATATCGTCTTACCAAGCGACAGACAGTAAGCTAAAATAGAAGTAAAAAAAAAAGCATGAGGGATTTGTATGATGCCATGGTTTTAAGATTTTTGTTAGCAGCTTCAAAATTATTTAAAAAATTACTCAGGACAGAGCTGAGCAATAGTATATGTCCTTAAATGTACACACATGTGGTTGTATGTGTGCAGACGGCTGGCCCTCTAAGAACAATGATGTCCACAGAAGAACTTTCACTTCTTTTCTAAACATGTAAGTGCTCAAAATCAAGTCCATATGTTTAGGAGCTGTTATGAGTTATCATCATCTGTGCCCAATATTCATAAGCACTAATTCCTCTCCATGGTTAACCAAAGCCACAGTAAGGCCATCACTGTTGTTGTTGTCATATGCCATCAAGTCGATTCCAACTCATAGTGACCCTATAGGACAAAGTAGAACTGCCCCATAGTGTTTTCAAGGAGCAGCTGGTGGATTCGAACTATGGACCTTTTGATTAGCAGCCTGACCTCTTAACCATTTTGCCACCAGGGGTCCAAGGCCATCACTAAGGGAGTCAAAAGAGGGAGATATCTGCGCAAACCCTCCTTGACCCATTTACCATAAAGGACTCCAAATGAAATTCATTCACCATACAGAAGGCAGACATAGTAATCCCCTTCTTTAAATGCATCTCTGCTATTCGCTATGGCAAAGATCAGTCTCGCTTCCTTTCACATGACAACATACCAGGCCTCAAAAGCCCAAGGCTGAAGTTTATGCTCAAAGTTCATCCGTCTGCACTTAGGAGACGACAGCTGTGGTGTGCCCGTGTCGTTATCTACGGAATCTACCGACACGGAGCATGGATGTAAATTACAGTACCACAGCCACGAAGCCTGCACATTCACAGAAGCCGGAGTTTCCTCAAACACTACCCACCTTTCCCATGTGTCTCCTTCTGACTGGATAGAAGGGAATTTTGCAGAGGGCTTTTTGTCTTTTAAAACGTAAGTGTTCCGTCTGTTCGTGGAGCACATTTCTAGCCTTAATTTAAGAATCTGCACCCCTACTGCTATAACCCTAAGTATATCAAAAAAAAACAAACAAACCATTGCCTTCAAGTTGATTCCGACTCACAGTGACCCTATGGGACAGAGCAGAACTGCACCACAGGGTTTCTGAGGAGCAGCCGGTAGATTCGAACTGCCAACCCTTTGGTTAGCAGGAGAGCTCGTAACCACTGTGCCAGCAGGGCTCCAACCCTAAGTATAGACAAAGGGAATTCAGGAGGGACGACTCATGACTTGCACTGAATTCTTCTGGCTTTTGTGTGCTCACAAGTCTGATTCATTTCATCAGCTTTTTCTTTTGGCTGTTTCATAACAGTGATTCAAGCCTTCATGGCATTCCTTAGACTACGGTGTCATCCCTCCCACCCCCATCTCCTTGTAATGTATATACCAACATTATGCCAAAAGAATGTATCATGTAATAATATGAAATTTCAAGCTGTTGCATATTCAAATGGAAAAAGAAAAATCTAAAAGGGAAGAAACAAAGCAAATGAAAACCCAAGCGCTGGCAGGTTGGGGCCCCGCGGAGCCATGAAAATGGAGGATAATCAAAAAGTAATTTCCTTTTTGTCCCTCCCACCCACTGATAAAGCAGCAGGAGACAGTTAAAATCTCCTTGGTGAATGAGCTTTCACCTAGGAAAACTCTGGGTTAACACTATTAATTCAGTTGGCATACACATTTGGAGAGCAAAGGGGGTAGTCTCTGGGAAGTTTCTGCAACTTAGCACTGGCACCTACCCTACCCTTCTTTTAAGTCACTTCATTGAGCTTAAATGTTTTAACACTATCTTATGGGTAGTAAACTTTAGAAATTTAAACTAACATTTTCTCTGGCAGAAACAGAAAAGAGTGGCTTTGATAAGGCACTTCACCGCCCTTTAAAAGCAACAAACCTGGCCCCATCAAATTTCGTTGTTATATGCTCCACTCTCTGACTGGCAGCACCCAGGGTGGAGAGGATGTTGTTTCACATATAACCTAACACTTTATTTGGTCTGTATCCCAAGGACCGGAAGTGTGTGATTAGGTTCAAATACCCAGGATAAGATGAATTCAAGTGTTTGCTAACACACTCGTTGGAGGGGTGAAGAAGGAGGCACCAAAAATGAATAGAGACGGGACAAGTATATTACAGCCAAAGAAACTTCATTTTCCTACCACACACGAAGTTGATTCCACTGCCATATCTCAGAGCAAACCAAGGCCTAAACTGAAAGGGGCAGGAAAACTAAGAATGTTGAATATTTAACATATGCCAGGCACTGATCTAGGTATTTTCACTCCCCCACCCCCCCTTTTCTCCTTTACCAATTCTACCCAAGTCTGAACTGGGACAGATCTTAGAGAAAATATAGTTCACACCCCTCATATGACAGAGGAGCAATCTAAAGTACAAAAAGGTCCAAAGTCCACAGCTTAGAACTAGAACGCACATGTGGGTCTCTCTCCTTTCTGCCTCAATTTCCTTACTTGGCTCCAAGGATGCCCGCTGATCTACCAGTTATCATTTTAATGTATCTGCCACCATCAATGGCAATTTTTATGGCTCTACTGTGCAAATATAGTCAGTTCTGGCCTAACACCCAACCTGATGGGCTGTTAATTGATGCTTTTGCCTAGGAGGTTCTTTAAACCTGCTGTAGAGTTGAATCATGCATTCATATCGCAAATGAAATTACCACTTTCCAAGCATTTCTTTATTTGGGATTACAGAGATGCCAGCAAGGCTGCAAAAACCAGTTTGGTGTGTGACGCTGTTAGCCCAGTCGCTCCCCAGAGGACATTTCTGACTGTTCCTGCTCCTTTGAAGGGGGTTTTAGTCTAAGAAAATATTTGCTAACTGTAATACGCTGGAGGAGGTAACTAAAGACATGAAAAAAATATGAAGATTAAATTGAAAATGAGGCCAATTTTAATGGTGTTTTTAAATGAGCTGTAAGAGGTAGGGAAAGAAAACACAAATGAGATGAAACCCCTTTCCGCTTAGCCTAACTACCCTGAGAGTTCCTTTTTTCCCTTTGCAGTATCCTTCAAAGGCGTGAGGCATACTGGGGAAAACAGAGCCCCAAGCTTCCAAGTACTGAGTTAGTTTTCATTGTGGTTCCTCCAAAGCAGAAAGTTTTTATTTTTCCTCTTATTATTAGTTGTATGACCATGAATCACCAAAACAAATCAACACGTCTGTGTGCTCTGTGCCACACTTACACGTGGTTAAGTAATTCCTGAGGCAAATCCTAAGAATGCTAACAGCAGCGGAGCGGTCATTAAGGAGGGTGCCTGGTTGAGAACAGTGAACTGTGCGGGCCTATTCATTATCTGAGCCAAGAGTATTATATACTCGTAAGTGCATAAGACAACCATTATGTACTCAGATATATGACACAGAAACACAACTTTTGTTAGCCCTGACAATAGGGTCAGCAGACTGATTCACTCTAAAAGGCTGCAGTTAGGGCCGTTTAGGTGGCTTCGTGTATCCCTCCATTGGACACATTTATACAAGGCAGGTGCAACCTTTTACAAGTTCAGACCTACATTCCACTCTAAAGTTAACACATGTCCTAAAGGGGGCTATATTTTAAGGGAAAAAAATTTCCATAAACTACTAAATGAATTTTGGAGAGGCTAAACTAGGAATGAATTTAAGCATTCAATTGTTTAAAACCTACTTCATTCCTAGAGGTACCTTGGAAGAAAGGTCTGAGGATCTACTTCTAAAAGATCACAGCCTTGAAAACCCTATGGAGCACAGCTCTACTCTGAAACACATGGGGTTGCCATAAGTCAGAGTCAACTCGATGGCAACTAGTTTGTTTTTCATTCCAAAAGGGATTGAGGAGGCTAAATTTGAATATTAACAAAGTACCTTTTAAGATGACACCAATATGAAGCCCAGGTTTATTTAAGGGGCAGTTTCGCATGAGGATCAAATACTTACCTCCTGGAGCCAGACAGCCTGGGTTCAAATCTCACCAACTCTGCCACTTACTAACCTCTATGACCTCGGGCAATCTACTCAATCATTCTGTACATCAGGTTTTTTCATTCATGAAATGGGATTAGTAATAATACCTCACAAGGTTGCTGCGAGGATCAAATGAGATGATCCACGTGAACACTTGGCACAGTTCCAGGCACACAATGATGGCTGAATTAACACTGGTCAGGGGTTCACTAGAATCACCTGGAAAACTTTCTACAACTACTGATGCCTGGGCCCCACCCCAGACCAAATGAAACCAAATCTCTGGAATGGGCAGTTTTTGAGTGATTCTAAGGGCCACGAGGGCAGAGAACCACTGGCTTATGTTATGGAGGAAGAGGGGTTACAGCTGTGGTTAATACAAGCACTTCAGCGCTGGGGTGCAAAGACTTTTATTTTTAGTTTTTGGAGTGCTTCTGTAGTAACGACTACATGGATGTGCCTCACTTCACATACTGAACTCCACATAAGCAGATTAATTATACGCATACCTCGACCTCAGCTAAGTGGACTTACCTCATACTATTTAGGATGTACTGCACTTAAGACGGCAGATGCTTCCAGGTGCTGACAAATGCAGTAGGAATCAGTGAGTATGGGACTGTGGTTATGCTGTTCCACACATCTAAGGTTGGATCATAGCAGTCCAAAGTTTTGCATCGCTGAATGCCAAAGTATCCTCCAACCACGTAGAGTTTGTTTCCGGAGGCCACGGCATGGCAGCTCATGCGCTTTGCTGTCACGTCTCCCACCTTGGTCCACTGGTAAGTCTCACTATTGAATTTATAAGCAGAGCAGGCGGAGAACTCTGTATCTCCCCCCATGATAAAAATCTGGTTACCCAGCACGGCTGCTGCTGTGTAACGCCAGGGCTGGGGGCAGGTGGCTGGTACCGTCCACCTGTTTTCACATTGATCGTAACATTGAACCTTGGGGAGCTTGTCATGACTGACACTGGTACCTCCGAAAGCAAACAACTTGAGTTTGGCACTCACTACTGCGGCATTGCTAACGCCTTCTCGGAGTGGGGCCACCATGGTCCATTTGTTGGTTGTAGGGTCATACTGTTCTACTTGCTTTAGAGAGACTGAGGGGGAGGCTGGGAGGCAGCCAGTTGCGGCCGTGTGCCCCCCAACCACATATAGGCAGTGCTTAAGTTCGGCAGAGCCATGGCCAAACCTGGCCACAAGCATGGGGGCAGCTTTGGACCACTCCTCATGCAGGGTATCATAAACCCAGACATCTTTCGAGACTCCATTTTCTGACCCCCGCCCGCCAGTAATGTACACTTTGCAGCCAATTGCACATGCGCTGAACTCTTTTCTTGGGCTGGGGATGTCAGCCTTGGGGATGATTTCTTTGGCCTTCTGGTCTACCAGATACAGTTTGTCACACATGAAAGTCTGTCCACCCAGCAGGAAGAGGGCATGGCCGGTTTTCCGAGGTCGAGCACATAGGCTGGTTACCACCCCGTCATTCTGCAAGATTTTCAATTTGCACCTGATGGCCTCTTCCACAATCTCCTTGCTCTTTCTCTGCTTGGTGATGAGTTCCTCCATGGCCACATTCTCCATGAGATAGATGGCAGGCAGGAGAGCCAGCCTCACTGTCTGCAACAGTTCTGGGAGGTAGCAGTAGCGCTTCTTCAGGTCATAGCTGATCCAGTTAATTGCAGACTCATACACAAGCCTTTCATCTTCCGTCTCCAGCTCTTCGCTGGACAAGAGCTGCACCACCATGTCCTGGGGCAGCTGGAGGAAATCTTCGTTTTTCCTAATGGTTTGAAAGTTACTGAGACACATCCTCCAGGAGAGTTCGTACAGCTTGGTGCACTGGTGTGCGTCGGACAGCAGCAGCATGCCCAGGCAGTTGGTGGGATGCAGGTTCTTTTCCAGGAACTCTGCACACGCATCCCGTATGTCTTGAAACTCCAGCATGTCACCCGCTTCCAGGAGCGATTCTGCATTTTCTTCATTGATGATGACCCGGGAGGAGTATGCATAGTCAAGCAGCAGCTCCAAGACTTCTGGGTGGATGGAGTTGTCAAAGTTGACTTCGTTGTCCTGGCTCTCCTTCAGGCCGCCACTGAACATGGCTTCAAAGTAGCGGCTGCACGCAGCCAGTACGGCTCGGTGGCAGGGGAAGGTCCGGTTTCCAGCGTGGAGAAGGACATCGGTGAAGAGGCGCTGCTGGCGTAGAAGGTTCAAGTGCGTGAGAACGCTGTCTGCATAGGAGGACTTGTGAAACAGATAGATGTTAATGGAGCCAGTGCTGGCCCTGGACTTGCGGTTCTCATGCACGCTGACTGACATTTTGTTTCCACTCCTAAAAAACAAAACAAAAGCATTGAACTTGATGCTGCTGACATTCAGGACAGCAGAACAAAGGCAACAATCATTTTGCACAAAGCAAACAGAACACTTTGCTGTTAAGCCCTGCTGCCTACTGTTCTGAAGAATGTATGGCCATTCCAGTACAAAGCCAGAGACAATTACTTATAAGGAAAGGCATTCATTGTGATACTGGTGAGCTATTTGAATAACACACTGTTAAAAAAAATCCCTGCTCAAAGCAGGTTCGTCTTGGAAAACCTGATCACCAGCTTTCAGGATACTGAAGTCCTTGAGAATGTAAGTCAGCAAAAGCCAAGAGGGCAAGGTCTCATTCTCATACCTCCCTGTCCTAGTCCAGCTGATTCACTGCAGGCCACTTAAAATGCCAGGCCTCCTGCTCTCATAATGCCAGGATGGGCACCTGCTTTCATGCCCTGTGCAACATAAAGCCATGTGGAAACCAAACACCTACTAATTAATTCCATTAAGAATTCCTTTGGTAAGAGCCCGTATCCCTATGTGTTCAGTAAATGGGAAATGTCAAATTAAAATTATAGGCTTAGGCCACTTCCACAATGATCAGACTTTTCTTTAAACGTTACAGATCATTTCTCACCTGACAGCTTTACCACTACAGAGTTCTAGAAGTGCCCTAATATAAACATTACCATAGATTGGTAATGGCTTTAGTGAAAAACACAGAAGAGACGGTGGCCACAATCACCACTGCTCTTTCTTGCTCTGGACAGCTTTCAAAATGAGGCTGTGGGCACAAAAAAGCAAGCATGTTTTGAGCAGCATACTAATGGATGCCATTTTTCTGTTCTTCCTGCTTTATTTCAATTCTTGGAAAACCAGTTGCAAGAACAAAGGTTCCATCCACCCCTCTTTGGATTAAATGGTACATTGCCTGGACTGTTCTTGTACGCCTGCAAATGCCGGTACCTGCATATAGGGAGTTCAAACTCAAGCACTGCTTTATTTAAGTTAAAGAATACAAACGTATATATACACATGTGTGTGCATAATATATTTTGCCAAATATATCTGTTAAACTAGGGCCACCCCAGAATGTGCTGACTAAAGTGCTTTCCACAGTAATTAAAATGAAATTATAGCAAAATCTAGCGCTATTTTTTTAATTTTTCTTCGATAAACAGTAGGGTAAAAATACAGGAAATGCCACCCCTACCTTTCTCTATCATTTATCTTCAAACACTGAACCACAGGCCCTTTTTACACTACTCCTCTGTTACTCCAAAGGAATAAAGCCCTCAAGAGCCAGCCTGTCAAGGTAAGCTGTTTATCCCAGGAGGGTAAACTATATGGATACTGTATCCGTTCCAACCCCAGAACAGCCAGTCCTCACAACACAGCTGAAACTGATGGCCTCAGTGTTTCCTTCAGCATCCAGATATCTACTACTTAATTTATATTCCGGACATGTTAATAAATGCAAATGAATAATTAACTACAAATTCATGCGCTAAAATACTAAACTGGGCTTCTCTTGATCAGCCTTGGCAGGCACAGAAAGTAACAAAGGGGAGCGCTTTACATGTCTATGACACACCGCCACAAACCATTAGGTGATACAACTTGTCTGCTTTTATTTTTAGAATGTAACATCTCATTATGAGTAAACACAGTTTACAGGAAGAAAGTAAACAAGAAAGTCCTCGGGCTCTGGTGTTTGGAAAGCTTTACAAAGCACCAGGTATGCTTTCGTCTCCACAGTGAGCTGGGATATGAAAAACAATTAGGAATCAAACATGGTCCCCATCTCAAACTAAGCCTCCGCTACCTAGTTCATTTTAATCCATAAATGACCAGCACAAACCTAAGTAAATGCACCAGGCTTCCAAAGTGCTAAGACATGTATTAGCATCCCTCATGCTCTACCACTGTAGTTGTCATTTTAATTAATACACTCAATATGATGTACTTAGAGAAAGATTTTAAGCCTAAACCTCAAAAGATTGTATAAATACTTCTGTGCCTAACACAGAAAAACTTAAAATTTGAAAGGAGTAGCTATGCAAGATGCTTTCAAAGCAACCTCAAAAGCTGCATCCTGTTAGGCTAAGAGCAAATACAGCTCTCAGGGAAAAATGGGGCTCTGCTGCAACCAGGTGCACAAGTACCAAAGTGCTTGCACATTGAGCTAGCATCACCCTGGGGCCAGAACACATTAGATTTGGGGCAGAGGAAAGCAACTTTCACAATCAGACCTACACTTAAGAGAAACAGTTTGTTTAGAAGATCCCAGGAATAGGAACTATGTACATCTCTCTGCATCCTGTTTATGCTCCTGCATTTTCCAGATTGACACATAAAGACAGAAGAAAGGGCCTAGCCAGTCATCTTGGATACCATCCAGACAGAAAAGCGAGCCACAATTGAAATCTAACAATCTTGCAGTGATGTTTGATTAAAATAAAAGGTAAACTTATAGACCCAAGGGAAACGACTTGCTTTTCGGACTAAAAATCATGCAAACATCAATACATCAGCAGAGACCATTTACAGTCACTAAACACACCTTAAACATAAAATGAATCATCCTTCCGGCATTTTTTAAGCCCCTAGAGAAATAATATTTGCATGCCAAATGTCCAAGAAAATGCACACATATACTTAACCTGTGTCTACAAAGAAGACCGAGAAAAGGACTGCTATTATTGTCAACATCAAAAGTGCTCCTAGTTACAGTAACTTCCGTTCACTTAATGCTCCTTACACACGCCCTCTGCCTCCAATACTTAGCGTCCCATCGCACCCCTTCAGTATTGAATCTGATCTCAGTTCAAAGTAGAAACTAGACAGATTTTCCATGGCATTTGCGTTATTTATGACACTGGAACAGCATTATAAAGATCTTAACAAGAAAAGCATTTTCCCTTACAGTCCTATGTAACACTCGCAACGCTCTTTAACACGCTGGCCATATCTGTGAAGGCAACACCAAATTGCTTGTAGAACAAGTTCAATGTTTCACCTCCACCCCGCCCACCAATTACTATCCTTTGAAATTCTTAAACTAAAGGTCAAACATTTGCATGAGAAGAAACTAGTTTTTCAGAAACCAGTTTTTATCTACTACTTACAGATATTTCTCCTCATGAACGTGCCCACCCGTCGTGTGGGCGCGTGGCCCCAACTTTCCCCCGAGCCGGCTAGGGTGCAACGTGGGCCACCAACCCAGAGTGCTCGGCCCTGGAGGCTGCGGGGAGCGAGGCAGCGCGACACCCGCCCACAGGGAAGCGCTGCTTTCCGCAGAGGAAAGACGCTGATCTTACCCTGCCTGGGTTCCTCCCTCCCCCTGCAGCTCGCCCGGACGGTGCGCCGCCAAGGGGAGCCCTGTCGGCCCCTGCGGCGATGCCCGGCTCCTGTTTCCTGTGGAAGGGCAGCGGCTCTGCATCAAAAACGGCTTCCCCAACACGGAGCTCGCAGCTCCAGGTTGCACACACACCTCTTGCGAGCACACCCATCGCGAACACACTCCCGCAGCCCAAGCAGCCCCTGCAAAACCCGCCGCTCCGGCAACAGGTCCGGAGCAGTGGCGAGAAACTCACAGCGGTGGCGACTGGCCTTCGCGCACAGCCGGTTTGTTCTCGCCTCGGTGGCCCGGCAGGGAGGCAACGAAGTGGGCGTCTCAGACCCTGGGAGCGGCAGCGACTGCGGAAGGAGCGCGCATGGGGGGCCGGCCGGGTAGAGGACCACGCCGGGGGCGCTAGCTCGCGGGGCCGGCCACTCTTGGAGGTTCGCCTCGGCCTCACGGTCCCCGCGCCGCGGACCCTGTGCCCGCGACCCGCGAAGCGTCTCCCGGATGGTGACTTGGGAGGGCAGAGCGAGCCTGCGGCAGCAGCTGCCCGGAAAGGAAGCGGGCTGAGCGCTCGGGGGAGGGAGCTAGAAAGCGCCGTGCGCGCCGGCGGCCGCCTGGCGTCTGGGCTCGATCCCAGCGGCACCGCCGAGAGCCTACTGCTCTCAGGCTGCTGGAGCGGTCTGCGCCCGGCCGCCCTGCGCCCGGCTTTAAGTGCCGCGGCGGCAGCGGCGGCGGGGAGGGAAGAGGAGGGGAGGAGAAGGGAGGCAAGAGAGGGTGGGGGCGCGTATGCAAAGAGAGTGACATCGGGGGAGGGGAGGAAGCGCTTTAGCGCTGCCGGTGGAGGAGGAGGAGGAGGAGGAAAGGAGATGGGGAAGAGCGTGTCGGGGGAGTTAATCGAGAGAGGAAGTGGGGAGGGGGGACGGGGGCTGCGTAGAAGTGGAGAAAGACAAAGGGGACGCGGTGTCTCAGCCACTAGCAGCTGCAAACTCTCGGGGACCACGAATAAAACAAGTTGTCTTGGGTCGAAGTGTCTGTGCTTCTCTGGCCCAATCCGGTTAATGGCTAGCCCCAGAGCTGAGGGACTCACCGCAGGGGAGCGCAGCTTGGGACTGTGCGTTCAGCGCGGCCAGAGCCGGCGACACACTCCAGAAAGGATGACGAGGGGTGAACTGGGTGTCCGCGGCATGCGCCCTGGGCACGCACAGCCCACCTGCTCGCTGGTTAGGACACCCAGACAGGAAAACAGTGGCGAGGGAAGAGGCACAAGTTTGGACACTCCGGGAACCCTGCAGTTTGGGCAAGCCGGGACTTATGGCTTCTTGCTGGCAGGCGGCCACACAGACTTGCGCCCCAGGCGTTTTCCATGGGTCCTCACACACCACCCCTCCCCAGCCCCAGCCCCCGGCGGGTGCAGCACCCGCAGCCGGACTCTGCCCCCACGCCACCCGGGAGCAGCAGCAGCCGGGGCACGGTTCGGCTGGGCGCGCGCCACGTGCTTCCCAGCCAATCGCCTCGGTCGCTTGATTCAAAGAGAACTCCTCAAAGGAGTGGCCTCGCCCCCTCTTTCCTTGGCGATAAAGCCAGAGTCCTCTCAGGATGGATCCTTCCCATATTTTATTGCTCTGTGGTGTTACTGTGGAGTTCAGTACAAAAAAAAAAAAAAAAGGCCCAGCACGTTTGTTTAAAGCGCCGCCGGCCTGCCAAGAGGAAGGAAGGCGACTCAGAAAATAATCTCGCTCAGCGATAAACATTTACGAATCCCATTTTTTATCTCTGCAGTTAGGACTTGTGTTTCCTCTGAGAGCTAAAACGCCTGTTTGCTTTTTATTCGATATTTGGAATAAAACCTATGACTGAACCATAGAGATTACCGGTCCAACCCCCTCCTTTTACCGATGAGGAAACTGAAGTCCAGGGAGATGTGAATTGTCGGGCTCCAGGCCACGCAGCAATTTAGCAGTGACCCAGCCCTGGAGCTCGAGTGGGGCTCTCGCATCGGAGTTTTCTCTGACCTCTAGCCCAGCTGTCTTTAAAATACTTGGTACAGAAATGGTTCCAACAGGCTAAGGAGGTCCTTCCTGGAGCTACCAGGATCCAGGGAGGGCTGAAACTGAGACTCTGACTCTGTTGGTTCTTCATTCTAACCCCACTTTCCCTTATCCGCTTCCCTCCTGGTTTTTCCGCGCTGAGACTGTCACTCCTTGCAAACAAAGAAAGACAGTGCCCTCTGAAGTCCTTTGTTAGCATTAACTCGGCAGCCTTACCCAGGGCTTCCAACCGGTTCAGTCCAGTTCCAACCGTTGCTGAGAATTTGCCTTTCTACCCAGATATACTGAATCAGAATCTGCATTTTACCAAGATTCCTGGGTGATTCTTATGTATAATAAATTTTGAGAACCACTGCTCTACTAGTAAACCCTTGTGGCGTAGTGGTTAAGAGTTCAGCTGCTAACCAAAAGGTCGGCAGTTGGAATCCACCAGGCACTCCTCAGAAACCTTATGGGGCAGTTCTACTCTGTCCAATAGGGTTGCTATGAGTCAAAATTGATTCTATGGGTTTGGTTTTTGGTTTGCTCTACTAGTGTTTCTCAGAACTGGTCCCTAACCAGCAGCATTAACATTACCTGGGAACTTGTTAGAAATGCAAATTCTCAGCAGGGGTTCAAACCAGTTCGGAAACACTATGCCTAATTTCATTTTTTTTTTTTTTTTTTACTATACTTTAGGTGAAGGTTTACAGAGCAAATTAGTTTCTCATTAAACAATACACATATTGTTTTGTGACATTGGTTGCCAACTCCACGATATGTCAACACTCTCCCCTTCTCGACCTTGGGTTCCCCATTACCAGCTTTCCTGTCCCCTCCTACCTTCTTGTCTTTGGCCCTGGGCTGGTGTGCCCATTTAGTCTTATTTTGTTTTAATGATCTGTCTAATCTTCAGCTGAAGGGTGAACCTCAGGAGTGACTTCATTACTGAGCTATAAGGTTGTCTGGGGGCCATACTCTCAGGGTTTCTCCAGTCTCTGTCAGACCAGTAAGTCTGTTTTTTGTGTGTGTGTGTGAGTTAGAATTGTGTTTTACATTTTTCTCCAGCTGTCTGGGACCCTCTATTGTGATCCCTGTCAGAGCAGTCGGTGGTGGTAGCTGGGCACCATCTGGTTGTGCTGGACTCAGTCTGGTGGATGCTGTGGTACTTGTGGTCCATTAGTCCTTTGGACTAATCTTTCCCTCCTTTCTTTGGTTTTTTTCATTCTCCCTTGCTCCAGAAGGGGTGCAACCAGTGGAGTATCTTAGATGGCTGTTCACAAGCTTTAAAAACTCATGCGCTACTCACCAAAGTAGGGTATAGAACATTTTCTTTATAAACTATGTTATGCTAGTTGAGCTAGATGTCCCCCAGGACTATGGTCCCCAGCCCTCAGCCCCATAATTTGGCCCCTCAGGGAGTTTGGATGTGTCTATGAAGCTTCCATACCCTTGCCTTGGTCAAGTTGTGCTGACTTGCCCACATGTCTTAATCATCTAGTGCTGCTATAACAGAAATACCACAAGTGGATGGCTTTAACAAAGAGAAGTTTATTCACTCACAGTCCATATTGGCTACAAGTCGAAATTCAGGGCGTCAGCTCCAAGGGAACGCTTTCTCTGTCGGCTCTGGCAGAGGGTCCGCGTCATCAATCTTCCCTTGGTCTGGGAGCTTCTCTGCACAGGGACTTCAGGTCCAAAGGACGCACCCTACTCCCAGCACTGCTTTCTTGGTGGTATGAGGTTCCCATGTGTCTCTGCTCCCTTCTCTCTTTTATACCTCAAAAGAGATTGGCTTAAGACACTATCTAATCTTGTAGACCTAATCCGTCTTATTATGTCATAGTGATAGCATTTACAACACATAAGGAAATCATATCAGATTACAGAATGGTACACAATCATACAATACTGGGAATCATGACCCAGCCAAGTTGACAGATATTTTGGGGGTATACAATTCAATCCATGACACCACATATTTCAATTTTTTATGCAGAGTCTCGGCTCCTGATGGCTTTACAAAGCGAGAGTTGACCCCCTTCAAGTCACAGTAAGAACTATGTGCAGTGATTCTGGGGTCTGCCAGGTGAGGAGAACAGCGCTGTGAGCAGAGCCCTGTTCCTGCAGGAGACTTGGGTAAAATCAGCAAAGGCCAAAGGGAAGAAACGCTGTACACACCAGGAATAGGTGCTGAAAAGATGGAAGGTGGAAATGTGTAGCTATTGCACATATGTCTTCTTAAAACATGTTTCTGTAGCCTGTGGCAAGGTGTGAGGGAAACCTGATCAAGGCCGCTTCTAGACTTAGCTTGTCCCAGTTTCCGGTCTAAAGCAAGCACTTTGGTTTTGAAGACTAAATGTTAATGTCTTCCACTGGGGGAAATTTTCTTTCTTGTGGGGGGACAGGGGGGAGGGGATTCATCCAACCTCCATGACTTTTTTTTTTTTAAGTTTGTTAATTGTACTTTAGGTGAAGGTTTACAGAACAAATAGTTTCTCATTACACAGTCAGTGTGCATATTGTTTTATGACATTGGTTAACAAACCCACAACATGTCAACACTCCCCTTCTCGACCTTGGAGGACCTTTTTTTCTATTTTGGTGAAAATATACACAGCCAAAGATACACCATTTCAAAAATTTCTACATGTACAATTCAGTGACATCGATTTATGTTCTTCCAGTTGTGCTGCTATTCTCTTTGTCCTTTTCCAAGTTATTCCATCACCATTATCTTCAACTCACTGCCCCCTAGGCTTCCATCAAATCTTTTGAGTTGCTGTTGTCAATTTGATCTCACATAGTTAATTCTTCTTTTTTTTTTGTACTTTAGATGAAGGTTTACAGAACAGAATAGCTTCTCATTAAACAGTTAGTACACATATTGCCCTATGACAATGGTTAACAACACCACGACATGTCAACACTGTCCTTTCTCAACCTTGGGTTCCCTATCACCAGCTTTCCTGTCCTCTTCTGCCTTCTGGCCCTTTCACTGGACTGCTGTGCCTCATTAGTCCCATTTTGTTTTATGGGGCTGTCCAATCCCCAGCTGAATGGTGAACCTCGGGAGTGACTTCACCACTGAGCTAAAAGAGAGTCCAGGGGCCATACTCTTGGGGTTTCTCCAGTCTCTGTCAGGCCAATAAATCTGGTCTTTTTTGTGTGTGTTAGAATTTTGTTCTACATCCTTCTCCAGCTCTGTCCAGGACCCTCTGTTGCGATCCCTGTCAGAGCAGTCAGTGGTGGTAGCCGGGCACCATCTAGTTGTACTGGACTCAGTCTGGTGGAGGCCTTGGTGGCCGTGGTC